CGAGGAAAACTTGCTCCCCCTCGCAACAGCGCCATGGGAGAAGAAGAAGCCAGGGGAAGCTGACGGTGTGTGTGATACATGGGGAGCAAATATGACGGGATGAAGTAACTATATTCTGTTGCGGGTCGAGCGGGTAGGCAACCCGTCCGCACCTAGGAATGCGGTACAGTGTGACTGCGAGACGTGCGCGGGGCTAACCAGCCGTCTGCTGTACAGGGTAGGTGTTCTACGCCAAACTGTTTACTACTGTACCGCATGCAGGCGTGCGTACGGGTTGCATACTCGCACGGGGCTATAGGCGCCCCCGTGATGAGAGGCGGTAGGCAAGCCCGCCCGCGGGCCTGCATGCGGTACAGTATCACCAGAAAAACGACCGGTTTAGAACACCATAACTCGAGAGCAATAAGAAAATGTACTCACCTTTCCGCCGGGGGTTGTTTTCTGGCCCTGAAGGTCTCTGCCGTCCCTCGGCCTGTGCTCAGCAGGCGGCCTGGCGATACCGGCGGCGTTGATGATCCCCGTGCTGGTCGCGAGGGAGGTCGGCGTCGGCGTCGTCACTACTCGTCGTTCGCTGGCGGTGAGCTCCTTCCCGCTGCCAAAGGCACATGCTCGCGGGCGGACGGAGCCGGACCGGAGCAGCAGCGCGCTGCGGACAGGACACGGTGTGACGTGATGACGTCAAAATTTCGACTTGAAACACACGACATATTGGCGTCAAAGTGATGTCATAAAGGCACCGTCTAAGTGTGACGTTACGACTTTGGTCTAGTGTAACGCGGCGCAAGCACGACCGGGGCAGCGCGCGCGCTGATTTCAATCGCCCAGTGATCTCATCAGAAAGAATGCTCCTCGCGACAGCTTAGGACTTGGCGGGGCGGGTGGAGCCCACTGTACCGACCCACCCGAAGGTACAGTACAGTCGCCGTGACTATGTGCGGGGCGTGGCGGCGGGCCGTCGTGCCCTGTGGTGTGGCATCTCCGACTTGCGCGGTGCCTTCCCTCACGATGCCCCCAGAGGGGGCTGAAGATGGTCGCGATGGAGTACGTTCGATAATTGAGACGAGATTCCATATATGACGTACGTTCCAGACAGGAAATAATTGTAAAAATTACCAACACACTTTTTACACAGTCCCTAAGACTGTCTCTACCGGAAACGCCCCCCCCCCCTTTCCTCGCTTTTTAGAACAGGGGCCGAACAGAAGGGGCTCGCGGGCGGGTGGTGGCGGCGTGGCGGTGCGTCTTGTTTTTTCCAGGGCCCATCACGCACAAGCGCCACCTGTTTGCTCTAGGCCGTTCGTCACACGCTGACATTCTAGCTGCAGATGCAGGGCGGAATGGGCTGGGCGCCTGGCGGCCGCCGTATTGGGGGGCCTGGCCTGGCGTACGCGGGGTGTGGTCTAGCGGGGCGCGGCGGGACAGGGCTCTGTGGGGAGGGGTCTCAAGTGCCCCACCGCAGCAGCAGCAGCAGCAGCAGCAGCAGCAGCAGCAACAGTAGCAGCAGCAGAGACTTTCAATCAGCATCGAAAGCAGACTGACTAAAGCGGGGTGTAGGTCGGCCAAGGTCTCAGGGTGCAGGACTACTACCACCGAGAGTGCAGCAGGCAGCAAACAGGCTCCTGAGCCGGAAATAGCCGGCATAGTCAGAGGGTTAAAGGGGTTATTAGCGGTCTACTGCCGCATCCAAAGCGGGAAGGGTGAAAGTGTAAAGCAATTGACCAAACGCATATCAAGAAACACGTCTCACGTTTGTCTTTGATAGAAGTCTTCCTATCCCCTGCTTGCATGCACAGTTCGAAGAATACAAAACTGCTGGAATGACACCTTGTAATCCATAACAATAAGAACTACGAGACATAGCGGTAAGGCCCTTTGCACTAAGTTTGTGGCTTCTTCGTGCTGTAACTGCAGACAAGCGGCGAGAAAAACAGTAACTCTCAAAATGTGACGTGTAACTTACTGCCCCATAACGTCTCGGTGCACGAGGCGCGGGGCGGGGCGGGGCGGGGGCGCGGCCGAGAGAAGAGGGCGTGCCTGTCGGCTCACTCGGCGCGCGCGGCCGCGGCGGCCACGGGTAGTACGCGCACGATGGTGTGCTATTTGAATCGCCCCATTGATACCGATTAACGCGAGGGTCGCGCATTAGGCCGCGCACTACATCACAATCCCCCACCCCCTCCCCCGCAACACCTCGCTGCCGCCGTGTGACATTATGCGCGGGGCAGAGCGCCGCCGCCAGCCACGCCCCGCCACGCCCCGCCGCGCCCCGCCACGCCGCGCCCTCGCGGAGTCGATCAGGAACGCGTCTCTGACCGTCTTGCGCGCGCAAAACACCGTGCAGCCATCACAGAAGACAAGACAGCGCGAAATTTGGCGAGGCGGGATTTGTCACTCAGCCGCTTTTTGATCAGACAGCTGAGGCCACCACCGTTATGCTCGTCATCCTAATGGTCAGACGGGAGGACCAGGATCTGCTGAGGAATATCGGGGACGTCCGGCGTTGCGGGACGCGGGTCGCGGCCGCGGTACACACACACACTCACTCACTCACACAACACTCACAAACAAGTGCCCGGTTGACCCGGCGCGCGGTTGGCCGTCAAGTACCTGGCCTGGCGCTAGCGCTGCGCTTGTCGAGGTTAAGTCCTGTTGGTCCCCCGCCAGATCAATCACGACGCTCGGGATACGTCGTCATTACGGGCGCCACGCCACGCCACGCCGCGCCACGCCGCGCACTCGATCTGTTTACTCTCTGGAGCGGGCGAGGCACTCGAGGTGCTGGTCGCGGCCGGGCCGGGGTCGCGAGCGCGGCTCGTACGTATACGCACCACCACGCACAACGCGCGCGCGGGACTCGCGGGCTCGCGGGACGGAGCGGGACGAGGAATGCACGCCGCGATGCTCCTCACACACACTGGCTGCTCCCCGCCGCCCGACCCGGGCCCGGCCCGGCCAGTCCAGCGACCAGTCTGCTTGATAGGGCTGCAGCAGGGCCCCGCGGGCCGGGCGGGGCGCGGTGGGGCGGGGCCGGGAGGGGCCGCCCGGACCAGACCGGATCGGAGTCAGCACATGTTGATCCGGTTAGCGATAATAGAGCTTTCAATCCCATCCCCCTCCTCCTCCTCCTCCCCCGTCCCGTCCCCCGCTGAGGAGTGCAGGCTGCGGTGCAGGCTGCACCAGGACCATTCCGACTGGAGGACGGGCTGCGCGCCCGGAGGGACCCGGGGCAAGAGTGCGTGCGGGGCGGGGACGCGAGTGTAGTAGGTACCTGTAGCACCTCCTGCTGGGCTGGGCGGCGGCACAGGGCAAAGAGCGCCCGGAATCACTTCGTCGTGTTCTGCGGCGGTGCGTTTTCAACGATGCACCGTCGTCGTTGTCGTCGTCGTCGTATTCGTTCTCCGCGGACCGCGGTTGGCGTCTTTGGCGCACGTTCGGCGTTCGCGTCGTCGAGCGTCCTCGCGGCGCCCCGTCTCGACCGGCACTGCACCGACAACCTGCCGCAACGGCAGCGCCCAGCTGATAAGAGTCTAGCCTGGCCTAGCCGAGCCGCGCGAGCCCTGGCCGTGCCCGCCAAGCGCGCCGCGCCGCGCCGCCCCGGCCCGCCCCGGTCCGGCCCGCGTCCCCGCGCCCCCCATGCCCGCCCTGACCTGCCTGCAGCAGCCCAGCAGCAGCCCCCGAAGTACCAGCAGCAGCTGTAGAGCCCCTACGTAACCCAACGCCAGCTGCCACTGCGGCGGCAGCACCGGTAGCAGCAGCGGTGGAGGGTCGTCCTGGCCATGTGTAGTAGTGTGGGGTTAGGTAAGCGGGGGCCGCGGGCCGCGGGGGGGTTCTGCCCAGCAGCGGGGCGGGTCGCAGCGGGGCGCGGCGGCGCGATGGGGGCTCTGCATGCCTCGCGCTCTGCCTGCTGATGTCCAGCGGCGGGTAGGTGAGGG